TATATTTGCTCTATTATTACAGCTTTCATGTTCATTAGCTGGTCAGTAGTCCGTCTTCTGCTTTTCAGGAACCAGTTGGCACCTAAGGAGGCTCGATTGGTGTGAGGAGGTTGGAGAACCGCTATTGGATGAGGTGAAGAATCGATGCAGGTTTTAAACAGTGTATCATACTTGGAGTTTTACTTTCGTTCGTAATGAAGCAACAAACAATTTCACTGTACACTGAGCCTGTCTGACTGTTCTGTCAAGTTTTGGTTGCCTGTGATCAGTAAGGCCAATTTATGTTGATTATTTTGCCACGGCACATTTTTTTTTATTGAATCAGTATTTGGGACATAAAACAAATGTAAAGCTGCACAATATTAAAGTAAATTTAATCTGTGTACTTTGAGCAAGTTAGTATTGTAGTGTTGAAACAGGAAACAGATGGCATTAAAGTATTTTATATCATAATACAATTTATTTCATGTCTTTGTAATATATATTTATATATAAAAATATACATACATATATAAACAAACACAGGAGAGATTTATTCTCCTTTATAAAATGATTATAATCCTCAGGAGCAACATATTGACACCTTTTGTTCCCAGGACGCCTCGTTGTCAGAGCTGAAGATTAGCAGTGGGGAGACGTTAGTTGTTACTGAAGGACTTTTGCCTCCGAAGGTATCAAAATATTCCTGGATGTCTGGATTATTGACAAATCTTCACAGCTTCTCTGTTTAAGGATTATTATTTCTTCATCTTTATTTCCTCAGGGATTTCTCAAGTTTTCTGTGTGGCTTTATGTGGATTTGAGTGACATGGAAGCAGACTGTAAGCGCTCAGAGAACAGTTCTGCTGAGCAGCAGACGCAGGGAGCTGCGACTACAGATGGGCCGTGTGCTCAGTCCATTCTTCTTTGTGGACAAAACATGGCGGAGCTGCAAAATGTTGGGAAGGTGGAAATATCAGATGACGCCACGCTGGAGGACTTAAAGACTCAGGTGAAGTGTTTCCACTGGTTTGTTGTCGATTTATCTTTCGTGAAATGCTTGTTTCTTAGAAGATGCTTCTTTTTGCTCCTTTAGGTGTTGACGTTACCAACGCTTCAGGACACATGTGTGCCTGTCACTAGCTTCCTTCGTGTGTGGCAGATGGAGGGAGGGCGGCTTACACGTATCCTCAGAGGACAACAAGTCACACTCAGGTCTGAAAACTTCATTCACACATTGTTGGAGGCAGATGGGTTTTTATTTGTGGACAGATGCAGAATGTTTGAGCTTGTCTTTCCCCACATAGTTTGTCTTTTTTGCGCTCAGGAAGCTGAAGTTGACCAGTGGGGCGGATCTTTGTGTGCAGTGTCTTCTGAAAGAAGAAGATCTCGGGTGAATTCAATTATTATTATTATTATTTTTTTTTGTATTGTACTCTTTTCCTTTGATTTCTTCTAATCTTTTGAAATGCTAAATTTTTCTGTGTTTTCTCTATTTCTTGCTGATTTACAAGGCCAAAACAAGTGCTGCTGACGATAAAGATGGCTGTTCCAGGGGAGAGGAGCTACTATCCTCCAGAAGAGCTGGTTTGGGATGCGTCTCATGATTCTACTCCTCGATCTCTGCGCACCAGTCTGGCTGCACACTATGGCCTCTCTCCCGATTCTCTGCTGTTAGCCAAACACCTGCCTGACAAACACGCCTGGGAAGAAATCTCCAACTGGGTATCTCTACAAAAGAGAGAGTTTGGCAGAAATGTTGTTTGGCATCTTACCAGTAATATAATAATTATTTTGTCATTGACTTTCAGACTCAACAGGTTTCCAAAAAGAAGAAGAAGAAAAAGGCAGAATCTCTTTTGGGGCCACCTTTTCACCTCAGAGATGGGGATGTAATCGGCATTAAGGTATCAATAAAACCCCCTTTTTTTTTAAACTGACTGGTTTATTTATTAGAAGTGTTATATCTGGTCCATGTGTTTTTTTCCCCCCTAGAACCTTTTGATTGACAACAACAGGGACTTCATCACAGCAGAGGACCAGCAGGGCCAGCAGAGGCTCAGGGAACAGGCAGAGCAACGCAGGAAAGGGTGAGACCTCTTGCTTTTTTCTTATGTATGTCCATCAACTGAGGAGTATGGAATCCTGATCTCATTTTTCATATCAAAACTCCATATTTTTCTTAACCCATAACTTAAATGTTTCTGTTTCGACAAACTTGTCTTCAGAAGTCATGACGTGACAAGAGGGTGAGAACAGCTCCCACTGCAGTGCACACTAATCTGTGTGCACTGCAGTTCAGAATCTACATACTATTTTTAAACACAGTTCTGTGGTGCCTTTATTTTGTTGGAAAAAAATTAAAAAAAACTCTGTGGTATGAACAATTTGCTTAGGATTTAAACCAGATTCATTTAAAGAATTGGTAAGAGGAGCTATTGATTGAAAAAGTTGAGAGAGTGTATTACTTTGATTTTTGAACACAATTTGAGAAATGCTGATTCTTTTTTGTTTCATTGTATTTATTTATTTCATTAGTATATTAGGAATGACATTATTACTAATGTTATAATAGTAATGACATTACTATTAGTAATATTATAATAGTAATATCATTATTGTTATTATTACTGTTACCATTTTTGTGACTTGTCTTGTCAATTTAGTCGTTTTATGTTATGTGGATTCAACACGTTTCTTAATATGAATATGGTAGAAAATACCAGCAGAATATGAAATGCGTGTTTTAGTTTTTCTCCTCTGTTTTGGTTTTTGCTTATTTTGCAGAGAGCAGGCTGTCACCTCCAATGGTGCTGGGAAAACCAAATCCAGGAAGCTGGAGGTGCCGTTGTCCATCAGCGTCGGAGCATTCAGATAGCATCTTTCGTTTCTGTTGGTGCACAGACGACTCAGGACGTCCGATGACATCACACCACACATGGACTAAAATGCCACGTTGCTGTTGGACAATCCCACTAAATAAGCCTGGTGCCATTTCTTCCTTTTTCTAACCACAGTTTGCAAACGGTTATTTGTCTCAAAGCATTTTAATGAACACTAGAACCTTCCTGGTTCCTATCCTGGAGATCCATCAACAACAACAAAAAGTTTAAACTTTTGATTTCATCCTTTGGACTGTTTCTGTAATATGCATTTTGTTTATAAACAAACGTGTTTAAACAATATATCGTTTAAGTAAAATTTAATCAGGGGACTTTTTTTCTTTGTCCTCATCTATTTGCAGCCAATTAACTTTGAGGTTTTTTTTTTTTTTTTTTTTTTTTACAAAGAGTGATTCATCTCTTGATCCCTAAACAAAGTGGAGTTTTTAATTAATTCTGGACTATCAGAAGTTGTTGTCAGTGAAATTGTCCCCTTTCTGATTACATTTTCTTGAGTAAAGCAAATTAGGAATCAATGTCCTTCCTGAGATCGACATCCTTCTATAAGGTAAAATTAAGGCTACTTTTTAAACATAAACCTGCCACTGTGCTGCATGAACAAAAGACTGCCAACTCATGATCAGGAACTATTGATACGTTATGTTTTCAGGGCAGATGAGAGATGGGCCTTAATGTAGAGAAGCTTCTCTGCTGCTCTGTCTTCCCTACCTCATTCTCCAACTCTCCTTCTCTTCTACCTCTTTTATGCTCGGCTTTTCACCATTTATCCTACTCTAAACTGTTGCCGGCTCTCTCAAAATTAATCATGGTTTTTACATTCAAATGCTCACAGTTTAGCACTTGCTTGACGCCGAATTTGTTGCCGAGCTGTAAATCCGGCTTGAGAACGATAAAATGAAACCATGTGAGCGCTGAAATTTTATTGGGGAAAATGTTCAGTTTTTATTTGCATGCATATATTTGACTTTGAGGGAAATAAAACTGACTTTTGTTTTGTTTTTTTGTTTTTTGGGGGAAAGTGACTGCATTTTATTTGATATATTTTTTTAATTTGTCAAGAATTCTGAAACAGACATCTTGTTTACTTGACATTGTACTGAGAGTAAAATCAGTTTTTTTTTGTATCCCAGTTTGATTATTAATAGCAGTGGTCACATCTCTGCTGGTAAGGACCGTTTGGCTGTATTGTTGCAGTGTTGTTTACATCATTGTAAAACTGCTTTTGCAGAAAGCTATTGATGATTAATAAAGTTATACAACAATTGTGTTCAGATCAGCAGGGTGTTTTGTGGTCAGACAAGTTTATTTTTAGCTGTTTATTTAGAACTTGTTTGCTCAGAGTAAACTTGCAGAGTTGCAAAGACGTTTGCCACAAATATTCGAACTTCGCAGTGACCTGCGGTGTTTAACCTCGGAAGAAAGATCAACCTTGAATCGAAATGAATCTAAGTTTTATTGCAGCACCATTGTCACACAATTATCTCAAAAAACAAGAAAAACACAACCTTTAAATTTGTGTCCTTTTAATTACGAAAAAAATAGTTTTAAAAAATACTGTAGAAAATTGTTTCAACAAATTCCCCAGTTCCACAATTATTGGCACCCCTTTTATCTTTTTACCGAGATACACAGTAATTAGTATCCTATAAAATTTCATAAGGTGCCATAAGAGAGGAAGATCTTTTACTTGGTGACCCTAAGATACCAGTGAGGCTTGTCAAATGAAAAGGACTATTTGAAAAGAAAGATTTCAAAAGGGATTTGATTTTTTTATTATTATTAATAAACCTACATTTATGTATTAAAGCTTTTAGTGTATTCTAATTTTAAATGTACTTTTATTAGTTGTAGGTGAAATATAATTAACAGGATTAAAGACTTGAAAACATCAGTCTGCGTCCAACGGTGTCATAAAGTCAATTTTAAGCTGATTAAATACTTAATTTTCAGTGAACCGTCACTTTCCGTGTTTTGTTCTCCACTGTCACGTTTTCACTTCTCGCATTCACAATCATTTAAAAGCATGCTTTTGTGACGACCAATCAAAGCTCACGTCGCTCTTTGACACAGCCAATCAGCTGTCCAGGCCGTTCAATTAAAGACTCCGCCCCCCTCCCGTACCAATTTGAGTCCGAAGCGCCTCACCGGATGCGGAGTTTAGTCGGAAGAGAGACGGTGATCAGCTTGAGGCCGGAACGGGACTGATTACACCTGCCAAAATGCTCCAGGATTTCTGCGCGACGTGGAAACTGGTGGACAGTCAGAACTTCGATGACTACATGCAGGCAATAGGTAAGGAGTTTGGGTTTAAGTTCGCCTTTGTTTTGCTTGTTTTGCCTCGTTTATTAGTGAAGTCAGACGTACGTCATTCTCCACAGGGATTCCTTTTGCCTCGAGACAAGTGGCCAATGCTACCAAAACGACACTGATTATCCAAGCGGACGGGGACAGAGTGATGCTGAGAACCCTCAGCACATTCAGGAATACCGAATATGTAGCGAAACTCGGAGAGGAGTTTGACGAGATCACGCCTGACGACCGAGAAGTAAAGGTAAAAAAATAAAAATAAAAAAAAAGACAAAATGTTTTGTGCGAGTCAGACTGTTGCTGTTCTAACCGTGTGTTTCACATTCTGACTTGTAGTCCACCTTCACCGTGGAGGGAGACAAATTTGTGCATACACAGAGGTGGGACGGGAAAGAGACCAAACTGATTCGAGAAATCAGGGATGGAAAGCTGGTGATGGTGAGTTTTTATTGGGATTCCCGCTATTTTTACTCACAGTTGTGACACGCATTAGTTCATACTGCCTGCGGCACTTATTGAGGCGTTCTCCCTTATTCTGTCCCCGACGTCGAATAAATAATATTCTGCTTAACGCCGAAGCGACGTGGTTTCGAGAATAGCATCAAGCTAGCGCTGGTCGTCCAGACGGCTTGTCCTGAGCGTTGCCATCACGACGTTCGCCGGACTCCATTACGCGTTTGGCTAACGTTAGCTAGACTGAGCGGGTTTCTTTCTTTTTCTTTTTCTTTTTTCGACGTTCGCTGGACGTCGACAAATTTGCTTTATTAATGGCATTAAAGTCTATCAAGACAAACAATGATTAAAATTACTTATTTTACCGCACTTGTGTTAACAATAGAGGCATTATAAGCGAAACTTTCATTGGCATCAATGTCAGTGCAATGGAATTTGGAATATAATAAAGTAATAAGTATCCATCCATGGAATGACTCAGGAATAGTGCAATGTTTGGTAAAATGCATCTCAAGCGCTTGAGAAAATCTGTTCATTAATACATGGGGTCCGATCTAAATAGGGCAGATTTCTCTTCCAGATGCAGTTACAGAGGAAGTTGTGATGCTGTGTGTTTAGACCACAGCAGAAGAAGCTCTCATAATGTAAATAAGAGTTGTTTAATTTCACTGATTATAGTTATTGACGATACTGTCGGTGTTTTCTGGCAGAGCAGAGAAACGCATATCTGCTCGATATGTGATGAGAGCAGGATTCTCTAATCAACTTAACATAAAACTGCATAACAATTAAGTGCAACTGAATAACCTATGTCGCTAAAATAAAATGAAAAAAAATGGGTGGGTAAATATAGAATATGACGGAATTGTTTGGAAACCGTCTGCCAAAATGACGGACAACAATTAAGTCTAGCTTGACGTCTGAGTAAGCCCGTATTAAAAAATCTACCGCCTTCTGCAGCAATAAATCTAAAGCTTTTCAGATATAAATAAAGGTCTAGTTGTGGAGGTTTTCTTGACGAAAGTAAGAAGAATCAAAACTTATTTCACCTTTACAAAATACTTTCAGGATACACAACCCGCACTGCTTTATTTCTTTTTTCTAGACGTTAAACTTTGAGGGAGTCACAGCGGTCCGCACATATGAGAAGGTGGACAGGAGGACATCATTCATCCCAGCAATGTAAACCAACAGAAGGAGCTTTACATCTTACTTGAACTGAAAAATAAAAGTTTTTTTTATATGTATGTAGATATATATATTTCAAATAATGGGTTGCACTTGACTTCTTTTCAGTACATAAGTATATGGTTTTAAAGCCATAGGCATGAATGATAATCTTAAGTGGCAACACCACAGTGTCACTACATTGACACAAAGAGAAACTGGTAGTGTGCAGCAACAGGTGGGGTGAGGCACTGTCACGCTCAACGTCATACATCTGGCAAATGTAACACTGTAATTCTGGTTACAGTGTTACATTTCTGAAATTTCATGAAAAGAACTTTGAAAAAAACATTAGCTACAATGAGAAGAAAAACATCTGCTTTTTGTTTTAATTGTGACTTTCCATAGTGACCTCTGGATGGTCTGACACAAAGAGGCAGTGGTGTTTTTTTTGTTGTTGTTTTTTTTTTCATTTATTCTTTTTTTATATGGGCAACCGTCCATCAAATCAAATTTTATTTGTATAGCACATTTCAGCAAGGCATTTCAAAGTGCTTTACATCATAAACACAAGAATACAAAGTCATGCAACATATAATAGACAATACATTGTTACATATTACATTTCAAATTCAATTCTAAACAGGTGTGTTTTTAGTTGTGATTTAAAGGAAGTCAGGGTTTCTGCTGTTTTACAGTTTTCTGGAAGTTTGTTCCAAATTTTTGGTGCATAGATGCTGAAAGCTGCTTCTCCTCTCTTGGTTCTGGTTCTGGGGATGCAGAGCAGTCCAGAACCAGAAGACCTGAGAGGTCCGGAAGGTTGATACAACAACAGCAGATCTTTGATGTATTATGGCGCTAAACCGTTCAGTGATTTGTAAACTAACAACAGTATTTTAAAATCTATTCTTTGAGCTACAGGGAGCCAGTGGAGGGTCTTTAATGTCCAAGGTGGCATCTCGTCAGGGGCGGCAAGACATCCGCTCCCCATCACCTCTCCTGGTCCTCACGCCTGCCTGCCCTCCCTCTCCTCTCGGTAATGCCGGTGGATTTTTTTTACGCCAGCAAAATAATTTATGTTGCAGTATCAAGTGATGTGTGGCACAAGTTGCTACGTCGTCCACACGCCTTACCAGGTGGCAGTTATGCTTCCTATAGTTGCCGCCTTTAAAAGCTGGCCAGCTGGTCCACAGTACTTAATTTAACAGAATTAGCTGATATCTGTAAGAAAGGAAGGATATACAGAAGTTTCTGACCGTGTCAGCACACCGTTGGTTGGAGTTGGATACGGCAGCCGCTCAGAAACATTTGGAAGAATCCGATATTCATTTAAGAAAAAATTGAAACTAATATTTTGGGTTTTTTTAAAAGCAAAGCGGTTGGAGTTATGGAAACATTAAGGCTAAAACCAAAACACCGAGCGACAGTGTTCTCTGGAGATGTCTGTGATGGATAGAAGAAATTAAAATGAACAAAGTTCCTGATTATTAAGAAGTGAGCGCGAGCTTTCAGACTCAGCAGGTTTCTAAAAGAAAGAAAAAGGCAGAATCTCTCATCCTGAGTCCACCTTTTCACCTTAGAGATGGGATGCAATCTGCATTAATGTGTCAATAAAACCCTCTTTTTTAAACAGGTTCCTTGGTCTTTATATTGTTATATCTGTTCCTCATGTTTTTTTCCTCCTTTCCAAGAACCTTTTGATTGACAACAGGGACTTCATCACAGCATAGGACATGCAGAGCAACATAGGAAAGGTTATTAACTTGTAAAAAAATTCAGCAGTGTTTGCAACGAGAAACACTTTCTCTTAACTGCTGTTTGTGAATTTGTTTGCTCAGAGTAAATTGTTACAGTAGCAGTGACTTTTGGCACAGATGAGCTTCACTGAATAATGACAGCAACGTCCCTTAGAAGGAAGGTTAACATTGAAATTAATATACATTTTATGGCAACAGCATTATCACACAATGATAATAACAATAAATCCATCTTAAAATTAAAATGCATTACAAATTTTTAAAATCAAAATTCCCAATATCACAATTATTGGCTCATAAAATACCTTCTACATTTCCTCTTAATGCCAATGCCACCTTGGAAGGAGAAGGTCTTTTTTATTAATGAGACCAAAGTTTTGTATTAAACATTTATCTATTTATTTTTGTCTGATGTAATATTCTAATACTATTTGTCATACAGTGAGAACATAACAGAAATAAAAACTTGAAAGCTGTGTTCAGTACTGCTTCATTAAGTGAATGTTAAACTCATTAGAAGTTTTTTTTTTTTTAGAAAAACACTTTTTTGTGTTTATTTCTCCATGTTCATGTAACAGTATGCCGAGCGATCGTCCCACTATCGCCTTATAATTTAACAACTAAATGTACAATCTGTAGAAATCAAGTTTTGGTGCTGACCAATCAAAAGTCAGACCACTTTCGGTATAACCAATCAGCTGTTCAGGCCGTGACCTGAAGACTCCGCCCCTCACCCGCCGGCATTAACTTGGGCGCTTCACGGGATGCGGAGTTTGCTCAGAAGAGAGAAGGTTAGTCAGTTTTACGGGACTGATTACATCTGCAAAAATGCTCGAGGATTTCTGCGCAACATGGAAACTGGTGGAGAGTCGGAACTTTGACGACTACATGAAGGCTCTAGGTAGAATATTTAATGACGAATTAGTTCAAGAATGCGCCGGTAATAACAGACCCGTGCATTTTCTTGGCAGGGGTTCCTTTTGCCACAAGAAAAGTGGGCAATGTCACCAAACCGTCAATATTAATCAGCGTGGACGGGGACAGAGTGGTGGTTAAAACCCAGAGCAAATTCAGGGTCACGGAAATCTCAGGCAAACTCGGAGAGGAGTTTGACGAGACCACACTTGACGACCGACATGTTAAGGTTAAAAAAAAAAAAATGTTTTGCGTGAGTGACAGACTGTTGCTGTTCTAACCGTGTGTTTCACATTCTGACTTGTAGTCCACCTTCACCGTGGAGGGAGACAAATTTGTGCATACACAGAGGTGGGACGGGAAAGAGACCAAACTGATTCGAGAAATCAGGAATGGAAAGATGGTGATGGTGAGTTTTTATTGGGATTCCCGCTATTTTTACTCACAGTTGTGACACGCATTAGTTCATTCTGCCTGCGGCACTTACTGAGGCGTTCTCCCTTATTCTGTCCCCGGCGCAAAAATAAAGAGTTTCGAGAAACGCATCAAGCTAGCGCTGGTCGTCCAGGCGACATGACCTGAGCGTTCGCCGGACTTCATTAAACGTTCGGCTGACGTTGACTAGACGTTCACGGAACGTTTGCGGACAACGCCTTGTAATAATAAAATTACAAACAAATAAACAAACAAACAAACAAAAAACCCAGCAAAATGTTATTTTACTACACCTGAGGAATTTTCAGTCAAACTTTAATTAGAAAAATGTAACTGGTTCAGAGCATCAATAATATTTAGTAGTATGTAAAAAAAATAATAATAATAATGGAAAATGTCAGCTTAGGATCAGGTAAGAGTGGCTCTAAATATGTATTTTACATAAAAAGTGTCAGCCAAGGAATGACTCAAAAGTTTAAAAAAAAATTAAAAAAATGCAAGTATACGCTGAAAGTGCTACTCAAGTACTAACTGATCCGAACATCTAATTCAATATTTTTAAATAAAGTCAGACAGACGAAAATGATGTGGAAAGCTTAGTACCTTTAAAGCTAAAATATTCACAAATTAAATAATTACAGTAAACAAACAGGTGGTATAGTGATTTACACTGGATCAGAAAGGACTTTTCATTTTGTTGTCAACCACTTGTGGCTTTCATAATGCCACTTGCATCATGAAAGTGGCATCACTTGCATCATGAAAGCCACAAGGTAACAAAACTTATGTTACCTTTACAAAATATTCTCAGTATATCTCACTTGCCTTGCTTTGTCTCTTCTTCTAGACGTTGACATTTCAGGGAGTCACAGCAATCCGCACATATGAGAAGGACTAAAGTTTAAGGAAGGAGGACACCATCTATCCCAGCACAGTAAACCATCAACAAGAGCTTCTACTTTTTACCTAAAATAAAAAATGTTTTTTTTGTTGTTTTTTTTTTTTTAATATTTCAAATAATGATTTGCACTTGACTTCTTTTCATTACATAAACAGATCCTTTTGTATTCATGGGGATGCGTGATAACCTATAGTCTATTATCACTGCATTAAAACCAATAGACTGGAACAACAACAGCTGGAGCGATACAATTCCACACTCTGAAAAACAAGACTGGTCACAGTATTACAATTTCTGATATATAACTTTCTATATCCTGATCCTCGAGACGTTCCCTGTCCCATTATTTTGTGATCCTGTGTAAGATACTTGGATAATGATCAAGGGCCTAAACTATTTCTGACTCATGTATTAAATGTGAAATAAATTGCTAAACTAAACTTTCCTAATATTTCAGACCCTCTATGTGCGCCGTAAAACTTCCCAGTGCAACTTTTATTTTTCACTGGGTTAGCCTCTTTTTTGCAACTCTGCATGCAGCCGTTATGATACGTTTGCTGCTGCCATCCGCCTCGGCATGAGCCAGTTTAATTTGTGGTGTCATTACGTAGGGGCGTCATTCGATGTTGCGTGGACCAACCCTGATGAGACGAGACGCGCCGGTGGACGTGGACAGTTCAAAGCATTCCAATTTTCAGTGACTAGTCATTTAAATCCACACCTGGAGCCCAGCAGGAAACTTTTTTTCCAGCTGCAGGTACTCGAATGTTTCACACTCCTCAAGTTTATTTTGCATTTGAATGAAGCTAAGCTGCAGCTTCCACTCCTGTTATCAGCGTGCCATTCTTCACATCGAAACTCCTGGGCGCTTCTCAATCAATTGGTCGCACAAAATGATTCTTGCAAGCAGTGAAGGGATTCAGTGCTATAAAGATACTGGAAATCTTTTCAGTATAAATGCAGATGGATTTCTGCAGTCTCTGCTCCTCTTATCAGTGCGCCATTCTTCACATCCGAACTCCCGGCCACTGCTCAGTTAATCAGCCGCACAAAAATGATTCAGCTAAACCCAGGGAAAGGGATTTGACATTACAATAATTCATTTATAATTTGACAACTAAAGAAAGCTTTTGCACAAATATTTCGGCTTCTTAATGGTTAAAAGAAATCTTGCAGCCCGAGGTTTACAGTCTTTAATTAAAGTGCAAAAAAGCAGGCTTATCTTCTTCTTTGTAACAGAGATGATATTTGGATGTACGTTGAACACTCTTTACAGGAGAATGACAAACGTTTCCTCTTTGTGAGGAATCTGTCTCACTGGTGTAAACTGACCTGCTTTAACCCCAGTCTCGCTTCGCATGGGAGTATGCTGACCTGACATTTGTTAGTTGTAGTTGGATCTCAGCTCTCAATCTTTAAAAGTTTTGCGGTAACATTAAGAATAATAAGATCAAAGCAGGATCCAGTTATTCCCTGAGTGTTGATATCGAGATGGTAATTGTTAAAGACGTCTGGTTCTGACATGCTGACACTACTGAAGTGCCTCCAATTGGAGATTTGCATTTGATCTAAGCCGTGTTATTGTAGCTTTAAGAGAAAAAAAGAAAATCACAGCAATGTTTTGCTGACAAATTGTTTTTATTGACAAAAATACAGAGGGCCTGACAAATTTATACATAAGTTTACAGCAGGGACAATGCAGTTTAAGTGGTAATGGTTCCAGTTAAAATAAACACTTCTTCATTTATTAAACTATTTACATCAAAATTCTTGTTGTCTCTGAGCAACACAAGTTTCTGATTTAAAATTACGTCAGTGTTTCTGCTTCTACTTAGGCTTTTATTTGATTCAAAGGAACTCGTCATGTAGGCTGAACATATGGCAGCATAAAACACACACGCAACATGCACAGGTTATTGAAAGACAGCCAAAGATGCCATCAAATCAATGGGCTCATTACACTAACTAAGTATTTCATATTTCTCCTACAAATATGCAACGACAGGACAGCTCACCCTTACACAGGAACACACCAACCACATTTCTGGTGGGTATTCATGAACATCACTGTAATATACAGCCTTTACAGTTTAAGTTACTGGAGAGCTGCAACATGTCGTAGAGCTTGTTCCTACAATTTCCTCTGAAGTTGTAAGGAGTTTTTTATTCGACTCAGAGCTGGTGCCTTAAATCGAAGCACTCCACCTATCGTCTGCGCAGCATATGTGTAAAAAAAAGCCAGTGAACCAGAAGCAACTGGCGAACCTCGATCCGTGAGCATCTCAGGATTTCTGGGTCGCCGGGTCTAAGTTGGACCACGGCTCAGAAAACGCTTAAAAGTTTCTGTGTGGAATCTACCATACAGTCAATAACATTGCCAGTCGGGAGCGACAGATGAGCAAATCAGTTGCTATTGCAAGATCGATGTCGGGTTTAGCCCTCAGTGAACATCTCAACACCAGGATGTGTAGATGTTATCTGGGCAGAAAAACCTACTTACCCCAAATACATCAGGTACAGTTGGTAACGACGTCAGGTGTTTGGTCAGTCAAGGAATTACAGAGACCAGATGGTAAAAACCATCTCAAAATAAACTTGGACTCAAACCAGAGTTCAAGAAAAGTAGCACCGACTTTTAAACAAGCATGCGGTGCAGATTGTTCCATTAGATAAGACTTAATCGCAGGTATCATCCTGCCAGTGAATCTGGGAGCTTTCAGATACAGAGCAGGGTCATTCCATCCCTTAGTTTACATGAAACAAAAAAAAATAATTCTGTTATGCTTCAGATTTTGCTTTTTTCCTTTAAGAGAACAAAATTCTTGAAATCGGTGAGATTATAAGAGATGTGTTGTATTTGAAAAGCAGAGTAAATATATGCACAGACTATTTGCAAAAGTCTTGGTTGTTCAAGTTAAACCGTAACTGGAGTGCAGGAATTGGAAATGGATCAAAAGGAATGACGCTGTCTTCATGTACTCAAAACGAGAGCTCAACCAGACCCGCGAACAAAACGATAAAAACAGTCCGTCGCATTTCCGCCGTTCTGGTCGCTTGTTGGACACAGTGAACGGGTGCTGCCATGTTTCTGCAGCCCGGAGTGTGACAGGACGTCGTCATTATGAGTAAGGCCACCTCAGATTAGATACACACCAGGAGTTAAATGTGTAGAGGTGAGAAGGCATAAAATGGAAACTGAGCCTCATCCTCGTCCAGGAAGAAACACTGGAAGTACGGCAGCTCGTCTGGAGAGACACATACCAGCCAGTTTTCTTTATTTTCTTTTTTTTAATTATTTTTCAACATAAACTGTTGTGTATATTTTCTTCAGTAAGTGGAAATTTGTGCTTACCGTCCATGGGAAAGCTGTCCAAAAGTTGTTCTGTTAACAAGACGGCATATTGTTATCTCAAACTCAAATGACAAAACCAGAAGTTACAGAAACTATTCAGTACCTTCAACCTTCTCGTCTCTGGCAGCCTTCTCAGCAGGTTGTTCTGCAACGACAGTTTTTTACATAAGTAAATGAAGCCACACTCATACGAACTCCAGAAGAATACTGGTTTAAATCTGTACCTTTCTTTGCCGGCTCCTGTTTCTCTTTAAGAACTCTGTCTTCTGCAAATTAAAACATATTCAACTGTTTACAAGTATTGCATAATTATTTATTGTAAAGTAGTTCAGTAATTTTTTTTTCTTTGAGTAAGCATATTGCATATTTTAGTAAAACAGTGTTGGCAACAAAAATGTTTTCAATCTTTACCTTTAATTTTATCTGTTACCATCTGCTTTGGGACAGTTTTTTCTGGAAAAATAAGAGCAAGGCAAACAATGGTTGCATCGATATGTTAGATTGAAGGTTTTTTTCATAATAAAAGGTCAAAAATCTCGAAATTATAAAGTATAACTCGTTTTTCTAGCTTTCCCCAAAAGCTCCTCTTTGATGTGTAGCTTCTTGCTGTTGGCAAAAATCCTCCCAAATAGGTATTTAGACAGATTTATGACAGCAAGTAAATAAAAGTGGGAGTAATTGGAACCCTCAGGCCAAAAACACTTTAAACAATATTTACCTCAATGGACAACAGCTTAAAATCTCATTCTGAGGAATTAATTTAATTTAATTTGTCATTTGACAAATGCCTTCCTTCACATTAAAAGTCTTTATTATTTCAGCATCAAAATTATTTCCTGACTAAAATCTAGGTTGCAAACTATGTAATAAAGACAATTTTTTAGCAAAGTCACTCTTGTAATGTGTGGCAATAAATCATGCTATCATCAATCAACTACTTCCACTACAATTTTACTAAATAAAATAAAAATGATGCAACAAACAAACCACTGCATCTCCCTACCTTTCTTCTTTTCAGCAGGTGCTGGTTTTGCCCTAATAGCAGCTGCTGAAACACGGATAAATGAATACACAGGAATAAAAAATCATAAGTCAGATGTAGAACTCAATTACAATTAAATTGTCATCTAAAAATGGAAATAACATTCATGTCAATGCAATACATACTTCTTAAAATGAACGCAACGAGACACAAACATATCTTCAGATGAATCAAAAAGAGAAAACTGGATATCTTGAAAGACTCAAACCTTTTTTCGGAGTGATAGGTTCAATCTTCTTCTCCTTAAGAAACTCAACAACTGAAGCAAATAAAACATATTTCAGGCCAGGTTTCTGACGCAAGAAAAAGAAACATTGGGATAAAAAAAAAAAACTAACTCCATTACCTTTTCTGACTTTTGAAGGCTTGGTTGTTTCTTTTGGAGCCTCAGGAACTGCAACAAAAGCAAGAATTTTACTTCCTGGTTCAGATTTATTGAAACTCTCAGCAACTGTTCTCTCCTGACAGGCTTATCGATCTTTGATTTTCTTTACTTCAGTCCTTCTTTAACCCTTTTTCCTCACCCTTCTTGCTGTTTCCTCCTGTTTCATGCCATTGTTTTCCCTTCAATTTTCTGCCATCCTTTTAGGATTTATGTTTTTTTGTTCTGCTCTGGCTCCCTTGGTTTCCTGTGACAGCTGTAAGTTTTTTGTTCTTCATTTTCTTTCATTATATCACCAAAATCTACCTGCTTTTGGGCCCATCAACACAACCTACCACATAAATGTAAAGACGTACCTTTCCGTAGTGGCACTGCCTTCACTTTCGTCTTTGTTAAGGAGACGTTTTTGTCTGGGATTTCGAGCTCTTTGAGAGACAGCAAACAATTATTAAAACTGAAAACTGCTTCAGCAGCTCATCTAGATGTGAATGTGGTGATTGTGACTCTTACTTTTCCCAACTGCAGCCTTTTTGGTCTTGATTGGTGTGGTTTCTGTGTCAAAACATTGTGGTTTCAGCAACCCAAGCAAACATAGACAAATCTTTCTACAAGTATTTATTTCAAGACCTGAAATTAATTCTTGATATCCCTCTAGTTGCATATGAACCAGAGGGATACTCAACAAAACAAATTGTAACATTAAAAATCTAAAAATAAACTCAGCTGAGTTGTAAAATTAACCGCCCTATATTGTGTATACAGTGATTTTTCCTTTCCTTCATGAAGATTGCTTTAGTTTCTCTTTGAAAACATCAACAGGAGAAAAGGTAAAGAGAAAATGGACTCAAATGTATTCCTGCAAGTTTCTTAAAAATCTATACATGGGTTACGTAAAACAGTGTTTTGGAATGAAATAATAATAATAAAAAACTTACTTAAGATTTAGTATTTTCAGCTATATTGAGAGCTTTTTGTCAATTGTAACTTTTATAAAACACACGTTAAATACGTATACACAAATGTTGCACATTGCCTCACCAAGTTTCGTCACATTAAGATGTTGCTTCCTGAGGACAGTTGGAAACTCCCTCTTGATTGTTCTTTTGGGCTTAGTATCTAAAACACAGAGGAAAATGACCGGTCATATCATCGCTTGGAAGGAAAAGAAATGCAGCTCTCGCCTTATTTCCCTTATTTCCTGTTTCTTGGCTTCTTGTCTCTTAGTTCAGTTCTTCATCTTTCTGAAATTTTCTTTGACATATGACAATTTTCTTCTCACCAACTTATGAAGCTTGTGTAGACCGATTCAGAAATCTGATCTTGTGCATACATATCACACTGACACCGTTGATGATGGTCACTGAAATGCTAAGCCATATCCTAGCAGAGTGTATATCACTTATGATACTAATCCTTGAAAGCTAAATTACTTAGGGTTAGTTTATTGGAAATGTCCTTTTGTTCTTACCTTCTTTGGGTTTCTTTATTCCTATTTTTTCTGTTTGGCGTTTCTGTTCAGATTTTCCTTCTGCTGAAAGTTTCTTTTCTTCTATCTTATCCTTGACAGGCTTCTCAACGCCTAGTTTTTCTTTCTGAGGTTTCTTGACCTTAATTTCTTTTTTGACATGTTTCTTTTCTTCCTTTTCTTTTGGTGGTTTCTCAGCCTTCTGTTTTTCTTTGACAGGTTTCTTTTCTTTCAGCAGTTTCTCCACTTTTATTTCTTCTTTGGCAGGTTTCTTGACTTCTGTCTTTTCTTTGGGAAGCTTTTTGACTTTTATGTCCTCTTTAGGAAGTTTTTCTTCTTTTGAAGCTTTCATCAATTTGACCTTTTCTTTGGGAGGCTTCTCCTCCTTTGCCTTTTCCTTCAGAGGTTTCTCGACTTCTGTTTCCTCCACTTTTACTTTTTCCTTTGGAGATTTCTCAACTATTACTATTTGTTTGGGAAGTTTCTCAACTTTTGTTTCTTCTTTTGGTGGCTTCTCCTCCATTACTTTTTCCTTTGGAGGCTTCTTGACTTTTCTTTTTTCTTGAAAAGGCTTTTCAGGTTTTGTTTCCTCTTTCGGAAATTTCTCGACTTTTTCCTGTTTTGGAATTTTCTCAACTTTTGTTTCATCTTTGGGAGGTTTCTCGACTTTTGTCTTTTCTTTTTTAGGTTTCTCAACTTTTGTTTCTTTCTGAGGCTTTTCGACTTTTACTGTTTCTTTGGGAGACGTTTCAACTTTTGATTCCTCTTTTGGAAATTTCTCGACTTTTGTTTCTTCTTTGGGAGGTTTCTCGACTTTTACTTTTTCTTTGGGAGACTTTTTCTTTAATTTGTCCTTTGGAGGTTTCTCAATTTCTATTCTTTCTTTGGGGGGTTTCTTGACTTCTGTTTTATCTTTTGGAGTTTTCTCGATTTTTATTATTTCCTTTGGAGGCTTCTCGACTTTTGTCTCCTCTTTCTGAAGTTTCTCAACTTTTTCCTGTTTTGGAATTTTCTCGACTTTTGTTTCTTTTTTGGTAGGTTTCTCGAGTTTTGTTTTCTCTTTTGGAGGTTTCTCCGCCTTTAATTTTTTCTTTGGAGGTTTCTCAATTTCTATTTCTTCTTTAGGAATTTTCTCTACTTTTATTTCCTCTTTCGGAATTTTCTCAACTTTTGTTTCTTCTTTGGGAGGTTTCTCTACTTTTAGTTTTTCTTTTTGCGGTTTCTTGACTTTTGTTTTCTCTTTGGGAGGTTTCTCCGCCTTTACTTTTTCCTTTGGAGGCTTCTCAATTTCTATTTCCTCTTTTGGAATTTTTTCGACTTTTGTTTCTTCTTTGGGAGGTTTCTCCTTCTTTACTTTTTCCTTTTGAGGTTTCTCGACTTTTAGTTTTTCTTTTTGCGGTTTCTCGAAATTTGTTTCTTTTTTGGTAGGTTTCTCGACTTTAGTTTTCTCTTTTGGAGGTTTCTCCGGCTTTACTTTTTCGTTTGGAGGTTTCTCAATTTCTATTTCTTCTTTTGGAATTTTCTCGACTTTTGTTTCCTCTTTCTGAATTTTCTCAACTTTTGTTTCTTCTTTGGTAGGTTTCTCAACTTTTGTTTTCTCTTTAGGAGGTTTCTCCGCCTTTACTTTTTCTTTTGGAGGTTGGTCAATTTCTATTTCCTGTTTTGGAATTTTTTCGACTTTTGTTTCTTCTTTCGGAATTTTCTCAACTTTTATTTCCACTGTTGGAATTTTCTCGACTTTTGTTTCTTCTTTAGGAGGTTTCTCCTTTTTTATTTTTTCCTTTGGAGGTTTCTCTACTTTTAGTTTTTCTTTTTGCGGTTTCTTGACTTTTGTTTTCTCTTTTGCAGGTTTCTCCGCCTTTTCTTTTTCCTTGGGAGGTTTCTCAATTTCTATTTCCTTTTTCGGAGGTTTCTCGACTTTCGTTTCTTCTTTGGGAGGTTTCTCTACTTTTAGTTTTTCTTTTTGCGGTTTCTTGACTTTTGTTTTCTCTTTGGTAGGTTTCTCCGCCTTTACTTTTTCCTTTGGAGGCTTCTCAATTTCTATTTCCTCTTTTGGAATTTTTTCGACTTTTGTTTTCTCTTTGGGAGGTTTCTCCTTCTTTACTTTTTCCTTTTGAGGTTTCTCGACTTTTGTTTCTTTTTTGGTAGGTTTCTCGACTTTAGTTTTCTCTTTTGGAGGTTTCTCCGGCTTTACTTTTTTCTTTGGAGGTTTCTCAATTTCTATTTCTTCTTTTGGAATTTTCTCGACTTTTGTTTCCTCTTTCTGAATTTTCTCAACTTTTGTTTCTTCTTTGGTAGGTTTCTCAACTTTTGTTTTCTCTTTAGGAGGTTTCTCCGCCTTTACTTTTTCTTTTGGAGGTTGGTCAATTTCTATTTCCTGTTTTAGAATTTTTTCGACTTTTGTTTCTTCTTTCGGAATTTTCTCAACTTTTATTTCCACTGTCGGAATTTTCTCGACTTTTGTTTCTTCTTTAGGAGGTTTCTCCTTTTTTATCTTTTCCTTTGGAGGTTTCTCTACTTTTAGTTTTTCTTTTTGCGGTTTCTTGACTTTTGTTTTCTCTTTAGGAGGTTTCTCCGTCTTTACTTTTTCTTTTGGAGGCTTCTCAATTTCTATTTCCTCTTTCTGAATTTTCTCGACTTTTGTTTTCTCTTTTGGAGGTTTCTCCGCCTTTACTTTTTCTTTTGGAGGTTGGTCAATTTCTATTTCCTCTTTTGGAATTTTCTCGACTTTCGTTTCTTCTTTGGGAGGTTTCTCTACTTTGAGTTTTTCTTTTTGCGGTTTCTTGACTTTTGTTTTCTCTTTGGGAGGTTTCTCCGCCTTTACTTTTTCCTTGGGAGGTTTCTCAATTTCTATTTCCTTTTTCGGAATTTTCTCGACTTTCGTTTCTTCTTTGGGAGGTTTCTCGACTTTTGTTTTCTCTTTGGTAGGTTTCTCCGCCTTTACTTTTTCCTTTGGAGGCTTCTCAATTTCTATTTCCTCCTTTGGAATTTTTTTGACTTTTGTTTCTTCTATCAGAATTTTCTCGACTTTTGTTTTCTCTTTGGGAGGTTTCTCCTTCTTTACTTTTTCCTTTTGAGGTTTCTCGACTTTTAGTTTTTCTTTTTGCGGTTTCTCGACTTTTGTTTCTTTTTTGGTAGGTTTCTCCGCCTTTACTTTTTCCTTTGGAGGTTTCTCAATTTCTATTTCTTCTATTGGAATTTTCTCTACTTTTATTTCCTCTTTCAGAATTTTCTCGACTTTTGTTTCTTCTTTCGGAGGTTTCTCGACTTTTGTTTTCTCTTTGGGAGGTTTCTCCGTCTTTACTTTTTCCTTTGGAGGTTTCTCGACTTTTAGTTTTTCTTTTTGCGGTTTCTCGACTTTTGTTTTCTCTTTAGGAGATTTCTCCGCCTTGACTTTTTCCTTTGGAGGTTTCTCGATTTCTATTTCCTCTTTCTGAATTTTCTCAACTTTTGTTTCTTCTTTGGTAGGTTTCTCAACTTTTGTTTTCTCTTTAGGAGGTTTCTCCGCCTTTACTTTTTCCTTTGGAGGTTTCTCGACTTTTAGTTTTTCTTTTTGCGGTTTCTCAACTTTTGTTTTCTCTTTAGGAGGTTTCTCCGCCTTTACTTTTTCCTTTGGAGGCTTCTCAATTTCTATTTCCTCTTTCTGAATTTTCTCGACTTTTGTTTTCTCTTTGGGAGGTTTCTCCGCCTTTACTTTTTCTTTTGGAGGTTGGTCAATTTCTATTTCCTGTTTTGGAATTTTTTCGACTTTTGTTTCTTCTTTCGGAATTTTCTCAACTTTTATTTCCACTGTCGGAATTTTCTCGACTTTTGTTTCTTCTTTAGGAGGTTTCTCCTTTTTTATTTTTTCCTTTGGAGGTTTCTCTACTTTTAGTTTTTCTTTTTGCGGTTTCTTGACTTTTGTTTTCTCTTTGGGAGGTTTCTCCGCCTTTACTTTTTCCTTTGGAGGCTTCTCAATTTCTATTTCCTCTTTCTGAATTTTCTTGACTTTTGTTTTCTCTTTGGGAGGTTTCTCCGCCTTTACTTTTTCTTTTGGAGGTTGGTCAATTTCTATTTCCTCTTTTGGAATTTTTTCGACTTTTGTTAATTCTTTCGGAATTTTCTCGACTTTCGTTTCTTCTTTGGGAGGTTTCTCTACGTTTAGTTTTTCTTTTTGCGGTTTCTCGACTTTAGTTTTCTCTTTTGGAGGTTTCTCCGGCTTTACTTTTTCCTTTGGAGGTTTCTCAATTTCTATTTCTTCTTTTGGAATTTTCTCTACTTTTATTTCCTCTTTCAGAATTTTCTCGACTTTTGTTTCTTCTTTGGTAGGTTTCTCGACTTTAGTTTTCTCTTTTGGAGATTTCTCCGCCTTGACTTTTTCCTTAGGAGGTTTCTCGACTTTTAGTTTTTCTTTTTGCGGTTTCTCGACTTTTGTTTCTTCTTTCGGAGTTTTCTCGACTTTTATTTCCGCTATCAGAATTTTCTCCACTATTGTTTCTTCAGTGGGAATTTTCTCGAGTTTTATTTTCTCTTTGGGAGGTTTCTCCTTCTTTACTTTTTCCTTTGGAGGTTTCTCGACTTTTAGTTTTTCTTTTTGCGGTTTCTCGACTTTTATTTTTTCTTTGGGAGGCTTATATCTCTTTATCTTCTCCGTTGGAGGTTTCTGAATTTCTATTTCCTCTTTCTGAATTTTTTCGACTTTTGTTTTCTCTTTTGGAGGTTTCTCCGCCTTGACTTTTTCCTTTGGAGGTTTCTCGACTTTTAGTTTTTCTTTTTGCGGTTTCTCGACTTTTGTTTCTTCTTTCGGAGGTTTCTCGACTTTTATTTCCGCTATCGGAATTTTCTCCACTATTGTTTCTTCTTTGGGAATTTTCTCGACTTTAGTTTTCTCTTTTGAAGGTTTCTCCTTCTTTACTTTTTCCTTTGGAGGTTTCTCAATTTCTATTTCTTCTTTAGGAATTTTCTCTACTTTTATTTCTTCTTTCGGAGGTTTCTCAACCTTTAGTTTTTCTTTTTGCGGTTTCTTGACTTTTGTTTTCTCTTTTGGAGGTTTCTCCGCCTTTCCTTTTTCCTTTGGAGGTTTCTCAATTTCTATTTCCTCTTTTGGAATTTTCTCGACTTTTGTTTCTTCTTTGGGAGATTTCTCCGGCTTGACTTTTTCCTTTGGAGGTTTCTCAACTTTTAGTTTTTCTTTTCGCGTTTTCTCGACTTTTGTTTCTTCTTTCTGAGGTTTCTCGACTTTTATTTCCGCTATCGGAATTTTCTCCACTTTTGTTTCTTCTTTGGGAATTTTCTTGACTTTTGTTTTCTCTTTTGGAGGTTTCTCAGCTTTTATTTTCTCTTTGGGAGGCTTTTGATCCTTTCTTTTGTCCTTTGGAGACTTCTCTATTTCTATTTCCTCTTTCGGAATTTTCTCGACTTTTATTTTTTCTTTGGGTGTCTTCTCCTCCTTTACTTTTTCCTTTAGAGGTTTCTCAACTTTTGTTTTCTCTTTTGGAGGTTTCTGCTCCTGTACTTTTTTCTTTGGAGTTTTCTCAATTTCTATTTCTGATTTTGGAATTTTTTTGACTTTTGTTTTTTTCTTTGAAGGTTTCTCAACTTTTAATTCCTCTTTCGAAGGCTTCTCGACATCTGTTTTTTCTTTTGGGGGCTTTTCCTCCTGTACTTTTTCCCTTGGAGGCTTCTCAATTTCCATTTCCTCTTTTGGAATTGTTTCGACTTTTGTTTCTTCTTTTGGAAGTTTCTCCACCTTTACTTTTTCCGTTGGAAGTTTTTTAACTTTTATTTCTTCTTTGTGAGATGTCTTTTCTTCGGTATGGACCGGTACTTGTATTTTTTCTTTCAGAATTTGCTTGTCTTCTGTGGTAGGCGTAGTTTCCCTTTCTTTTTCCTTGTGTTCTAAAATAATCAGAACATGTATTATTCAGTTATAGCTATTAGTTTTTAAGTTTCTACATAAAGAATTTAAATATCAAATAAAAATCAGTGCATGCCTGACACCGATACTTTATTTATTTCCTTTTTTCACTTTTCTGGTATTTCCTTTAACTCAAAACTAAACTTTTACTACTTTCGGTCAGTTAAGATTTTTTTTTGAAATTATAACTTTTACATGTATATGTTTCCTTTCTTCTAATTGAGAAGTTTGCACATATTTTGTTTGCAATTTGCTTTTTAACTTGCATGACATGGATCAAATTTTTTTTTTTATTCTTCCCCAAACTTCTGGACGTTTTGTCCATTCGTTTTTACATAACTGAGATAAATGGGTCAGGATAACATCATGTCTTAATTGCACAGTCCTTTAGATGTATAATTCCAGTGGAACAAGGGATTTAATTAAAGAGCATAATGCTTCCACCACGTTTCTATGGTGGTGGCGGCTCTATTTTTTGTGTCACGTCATGCACCTTGTGGATTTGAGGCCCAAAACGTTGGTTTCTACACATCATAACACGTCTTTTGAGATTTTTAACCCAGCCACAAGACCTCACATCCATACTGCTTTGCCAAAACATACACAAAAACATAAATTGCAGTGAGGCTCATTTGCCCTTGTTGGTCTTTGGTCACATCATGATGTATTCTTGAAGAACAATCAATAAACCATTGAAATATAGAGGCAAAATGGAAACAATTAACAAAACCACAGGTGTTTATCACATTTTTGATGACGTCAGTAGAACTAAAAACCAAGTATTTGTGAAGATAATACCTGTCACATATTGGCCGGCAGGTTCTTTTGGTGATATTTTGTAGTCAGCTTTCTTCACCCTCTCAAAGGGAACATGAGTCTTCCTCTTTTCTTCAGGTTCTGCCTTTTTGCTCTCGCTGTTATTATTATTTTCATCGTGATCATGCTGTAGTTCTGCATAATCTTCGTCTTTGTAATCAGGAGATGTTCCGACTTCTTCCTCTTCCTGTTCGCCCGTCTCGGATGCACCAGAGTCTTTAGCAGGAGTTTTGGACAGTAGAAGTTCTGGTTGTTGAGCTAATGACTGTTTTTCCAAATCTTCATCACCAGCTTCAGACTGTGCTTTGTCGTCTTCCCCCTCACTGTCAATCAGTTTCTCTTCAGCTGTGGAGTCGTCCTTTTCCACCCTATCTTGTTCCCTGCCTTCAGTTTTCATTTCCCCTAATTCTTCCTTCTCCTCAGTCTCATCCTTACTCTCTACCAAAACCTCAAAAATTTCAGGTTCCTCCTCTTCTTTGTCGCCTTTATCTTCTGCTGTTGCTTCAATTTTGTTTTTTTCCTTTTCCTCTTGTTTTGCCAACTCTTCCTCTGTTGCTGGCGTCTCCTCTTCTTCTTCTAGCAAGATGTCTTCTATTTTAACTTCCCCTTCCTCTTGTTCTTGTCCTGTTTTTAAAGTCTTGTCTTCCACCTCAGGTTTTTCCTCTTCTGCCAGTTGTTCCTGTGGTGCGACTTCATGCACCGTCTCTTCTTCGTCTGCCGTCGTTTCCTCCTCAACTCCAACATCTATGATTTCCTCTTTCAGAGAAGGCTCAAGTTGGAGTTCTTCTGTATGTTTCACTAATAGAGTGACAGCATCGAATTTAGTGATTGTTCTTCAGTTTGGTGAATGTGTGACTGAATAAACGTCTGAATACCCTCATCTTCCTCTGCTTTGGTCACTCCTACTTCATCCGCAGATTCAGTGGCGTCTTCAGCCTCCTCCTCCGCAGCAGAGGCAGCTTCATCTTCGACAGCACGCACCATCTCTGCAACTGTATCAGGGACTTTTGTAATCACTATTAAGCCCATGTCCACATCTTTGTTAATTTACATGAAGATAAAATAATCTTTAGGGTGCAGATCAAAAGTGTGGAAATAGCAGAAATACCCAAGATGATAGTAGAGATTTTTTTTATATATAGATGCACAGATCAAATCAAACACTCAACCACAAAAACTCCAGTTAATATGACTCAAGTATTTACAGTAGAATTAAGTATGAAAATATTTGGGCACTGTTAGTATTTATTTTAGTTAAAAAAAATATTTAACCTTTGTAACTTCAGTTTGGAGTATGGAGAACCTCCAAACTGAACAAAAAAATTTTGTTCTTAAAAATAAAAACTCCCGAAATTGTTTAAATTGCTTTGCTGTTCATAATTGCCTCAGATAAGTTCAGAGTTCACCTGGGAAACTCCAGTCTATGGGAAAATTTCAAGGCCAAAACCATTGCTGACCAAAAAGAGCATAAATGCCTTTTAGGAAAGACTTTAAAGTGATCTAGCCCAAGTCTGCACTTAAATGCAACCAAAATGCTGTGGCATAATCTTAAGCAGGCAGTTCATACTCAAGGGAATCACAAACACTTTCTGGAAAACTGGATCAAAATTTCTGCACAATAACATAAAGGCCATTTTAGCCCAACCAGCTATTACATTTCAATGTTGATTTCTTTGCCACACATGATCAGCTTGTTTTAAGCAGCTTTATTCCCTTAACTCTATACGAAACTGTATTCAGTATTGACCCAACCTGACTGACGGTAAAATTTGTTTCATTTAGATGCGACAAAGAGCGTTGAAAACTGTATGTGTTCAGATATCTCCGTTCATATTGTTTTTATAAATAGCTGAGATAAAGTTTACATTTAGTCTCACAGAAAATGCAGGACACAGAAAAATGCAATATTAATAAATCTCTTTAGGTTTCCATACTTATTCATACGAAAACAATGTTCTTTAAGGATCAACACAAGATAATCGTAGTCATAACAAAAAAAAAATTTAAATAAATCATGTAGTTTTGTGAAAAGTTACAACAAATTGTTATAACAGAAAATGAAGTCAGTGTTGTTCAACATATTTATTATGACAAACGTAATGATGCATATTCAGTCATGCCTGGACAGGTACAAAACGTAAACCAACAAACCGATTGCAATGGTTTAAGACTGGTATGTGGAACAAACATGAACTCAGTCAATAACAAAGACCAAATCATCAACCCGGTTAAATGTGGTAAAAAAAAAAAAAAAAAAAAAAACATCAACAAATAAACACAATTAATACCAACATGCAAGACAGATCTTTAGTAAATCTGTAGAGAAACCATTCCACCAATCGCTTTCATTTCTTTGCAGCACTCATATAAAAATATGCAATCATTTGTTCACAGCATGGAGACTTTTTCTCACCTTTTTCAGGTGGAGGAAGAAACTCCCCTACAACAAGATATAGCTGTTTTTAGAGTCAAGCAGTGATGCCTTTTTTCAGCAACAGGCAAGAAAAATGATTATACTGCTCACCTTTCTTTCTCACCAGAGTGATATCAGATGGAGAAACAACAGCTTCACCTAAACAAAGAGAAAGAGAGATTTTTGGTTTTGAGCTTTCTACACCACTAAGAATTGTAATAGGCTCTAAAGTATCATATTGCATCGTATCGTATCATATCACATATCAAATTATATCAAAATGTGTAACAACTATATTCTGACAACTTGTGAGATCAGAAATCCCAACCTTTTTCAGTGACAACATTTACAGTGGGTGGACTGACAGGTTCACCTAAAATCAGATAAATGAATAGCGATCAGATTTCAGAGCAGCATAATATTTTGTGATTCACAGTAATTGCTAATACCCACACCTTGATCACCACCAAGCATACTTGACATGTAGCCCAAGAACAAATCCTTCTTGTCGGTAAATTCCAGTACCGCATCCTCAACAACTTTCATCGGGTCAACAGAAACGTCCGGAATGATTGCTGGGAGAAACGGAACATGTTTTTTGTCTGACGGATGCACTAAATGTGGAGAAATGCTCTCTGAACGCGTTATGTTATGGCACATAAATTGACACACCTGGTTCACCTATCAGCGTTGTAGAAAGGTAGCTCATAATAATGTTGACATGTTCTTTAATGATTTCTGCTGTTGTCTGCAGAGCTGATAAGGGCCTGAATCCCACAGCCTCCTGGAGGTCTGATAAAAATAAATACATAAAAATGGAGCAAGAGCGTTTAATGGAATGCAAATTTTAGATATAAAGTAATAACTCTAGGTGGCATTGTACCTTTCACTGTGTCCAGTACCACATCCAAGATCGCACAAAGCACATTCTGGATGTATCCTGTGACGTTTTTCACAAATTCATCAAGAATATGGAAGATATTTCTGCCGATCACCACAGGGTCAATAAAGCTGATGTCAATGGTTCCTGTGAGGAACAATAAAAGTGTAATACTTATTATAATGCATTTATGTTGCTGTGGAGGCAATAATTAGAACACTGCTGCTCCCGTCAAAGTTAGCTGATAAAAATAACACCTTAAACACAATCTCAAATTTAGTGTATTTCAGCTTTGACCGGCATTCACAGAAAACACTGGCTTTATTAAACTGCATGGAAAGCATTAAAATAAAATGAAATAAAACACATTTTCTAAGTTTATTTCAGACTGACAATGAAGACGTGACATACTCATGTATTTGCATTTTGAAAGAAAGGGAAACAGAAAAAACGACTTTGGTAAAAACACATAAAACATAAATTATTATTTTGCAGTTACAATTGGCACATAAACAAACAGGAAAATAGGAAGTCCTCACCCCTAGAGATATCCAATATGATGTCTAATAAAGCACAAAGTATGTCCTGAATGCAGCCCACTATTCCATTCACAGCGTCGTTGATGATGTGGAAGAAATTCCTGCCCAGGACCACGGGGTCGGCGTAGCTGATGTCTATTGTTCCTGAGAAGAACAAGACAAAGTTCAGACAAACTTCAGTCAAGTGACACCTTAAAAGAGTTTTTAGTTTTACATATATTTGAAGATGACAAAGTTGCACTGAAGGGAATCCAGAGACCAGAAAAAAGGATTTTTTTTTTATTTTTTACTGTGCTTCTTAAAAAGCGCAATTCTGCTTTGCAGAACAGCTCATCATGTTTTAGTCGAATTAAAAAGACATCTAATTTCAAAGTCAGCGATCAGTGCTCAGAGAATTTAGTACAACTGGTTTAAAGAGATGAGGTAATAAAGAGCCTCCAGATGACATTTTATGTGCATTTGCACTATATAAATAAATTGAACTTACCGTACATTTTTTATTTAGATTTTTCACATCGTTTGAGCTAATTTGAGTCTTGCACAATAGATAAGGAGAAAATGAGATGTGATACCTTTAGATACATCCAATACGGTGTCTAAGATGGCACACAGTATGTCCTGGACGTAGCCCGTTATTCCACCAACAGTGTCGTTTATAACATTGAAAAATGTCCTGCCAAGTACCACAGGATCGATGAAGCTAATGTCAGTGGTTCCTGAAAACACAAACGTCGTATTGAAAGAAAATCCCGATCCACAGTGTAGTGGGGAAAGCAAACTATGTGAGATACAGTCATGGGAAGAATCAGGAAAGCGAATAAAATATTCAGTTCATTATTAAGAAACGTCTGATCTTCTTGGTGTTTAATCCTATATTTAATGTAATGCCATGGATCATTGTCATGTTGCAGGTTTTAGTTTAGATTAAGCGCAGAAGGCCTAAGGGAGAATCTTGCATTTGGTTAATGTCATACATGTGGTCTGTTTGGTGTCCAAACATTTTTTTTTTTTTTTTTTGCAGTGAAAGTATTTCCTCCTGGCCCTGCTGTAGGAAAAGTGATGGCATTTTATAGGCTTCTTTAAGCATCTTGCAGTCTGCTCTCAGGATAAACTTGTCTGTAGTCTTTAGTCTTTTGGCAATCAGCGGGACACGTGAGACTAAACATCCAAGATTTAAATATATATATTTCAAAATGCTGAGTAAGAATTTTCTAATCGTGTCCTGGGTGTCATAATTAATTCCTAACCCATAAACTGTGCTTTTCAAAATAATGTTTTATTAATAGGTACCAGGTTTGTCATAGGGTGCCCTAATTTTTCCAACATGACCACAGCTGTTCTCAGATGGTACCTTTCACTAGATCCAACGTGGAGTCCACTAGGAGGCAGAGCAAATTCTGGATGAAGCCCCCCACTTCAGAAACAAAGTTATTCATAGAACTGAAGAACCCCCTGCCAATTATCACAGGGTCAATGTAGCTGAGATCAAGTTTTCCTGAGAAGACAAAGGATTTGGGAGAAACATTTCCACAATTAGTTCAAGTAGGCTGTTGTTGCAAGAATTTCAAAAGACTGATTGTGTTTTATTTGATTATAATATAATCAGACACACCTTTTCCTATATCCAAAACTGCATCTGTTACAGTATCCACAGTAGCACACAGTGAGTCCCTGAAGGAGCCAAGCACTCCATACACAAAGTCGTTGGTTGAGTGGAAAGCTCTTCTTCCAATGACCACGGGATCGATGTAGCTTGGGTAAAAGGTTCCTGTGATGTAAATACAGGCACATTACGTTAGTATTACACTTTATTTTATTTGTTTTGTTGACTACAGGTGCATTGCCATACCTTCTTCATCTGAAAAGTATCGAACAAATGCATCTTTTGCTTCTATAACCTCTTCAGCAGCGTAAGACGCAGCAGACGAGGGGCTGCTTAAATCAGGAGCACATTCTGGAAAACAAAAAAAGCGAAGCCATTTCAGTTCTTGACTGACATACTTACATGCAGAAATGTTGCACTTTACAATGAGGTGTACCTTGGAACTTATTTAGCAGGCTGGACACTTCGTCTACAGCATCGTTTACAGCTTGAACTGGGTCCGTAATGATTTGGTGTACATCTGGGGGGGAAACAGAAATGAAAGCAAAAACGTTCAGAAATCTTTACAGTTTAAGCAAACACACTCCAAGGCGTATGTGACTCACCTGGTACTGCTTTGTATTCGACAAAGTCAAACATCACCACACCCACTACCACCCAGGACAGGAGAGCAGCCAGGGCGATCAGCAGCTCCACGGACACTTTCACCTTTCTGATGAGGTCCAAAGCTTTAGACTTGAGAGAGCTTGTCAGTGAGGCTCCGCTGGGGCCCCCGGCTGCACTTCCCGAGGGGGATTTGGCTCCTGTGGGTGGGATGCACCAGAGTGACGCTTGAATGATTGAGCAGCAAGTAGTTGCTTTATGAATTCCAATGCTATAATTGCATAGTTTTTCCACCAGGGGGCACTGAAACCTTCTGGTTTTTAAATAATAAATGTTTTAGAAAATCCGGGTACTTGAAAATAATACATGAAAAAAAAAGGTAATTTAGTCTCAGAATACATGCCCCTAACCTGACTAAGATAAAATATAACACACATTTCACAATAAACCTATTAGACACCAGAAAGCAGCACTGAAATGATATTAGATAAAGATTGAAAAAACAGATTAATCTGGGATGTTTGATGAGATCACAAATGACTGATGCCATGCTTTCCTCAGCATTTATGCAACTCATTTCTTTGGATTCTCCATGTGCATACACTGGGAAATTAAATTAAACAATTTTCAAAACGTTGCTCAAATAAACTTTTGAGAACTGTTGCAGGCATTTGCATTCAGCCCTTCTGCGTTAATACTTTGATCTTTTGTCTCCACTGGCTTGACACAGGTACAACCTGAAACGCTGCACATTTTTCGACATATTTTTTCTATGTATGTAAGTTAACCTAACACTGGCCAGATTGGTGTGGTTGAGGCTGCCATAGGTTCTTTGGTCCATTTCAAACACAGGTTTTGATCTAAACCTGTAGCTCTGGTTGTATGTTTGCGACTGTTGTGCTGCAGGAAGGACCAGCCTTAGGTTTTCTGAAAACCTCAAAAAGGTTTTCTTCCAGAATGAGCCTGATTTCCAACTTTGACCCTCGTCTCCACCCCTACTAAAGAAAAGCATCACCACAGCATAAAGCTAACTCTGCCAAGTTTTACATGACCCGAACCTCTTCTCTGTGTCTCCTTTTGACAAACTACAAACAGAACTTTCTGCTTGCCACTCTTCCATAAAGGCCAGCTTCGTGAGGATTTTATTTAGGGGTATCAGTCTAAAAGGGGTTGAAAACAAGTGCAGGTCACACTTGGCAGATTCTTGCTTGTAAAAAAGATATATTTATAAAACAATTATTAACAATTTATATTGATAACTCTTAACACTGCACTGTTAGTCCCAATAAAACCCATTGGAGTTTGTAGCTGTAATATTTGTTATCTAAGGGCTAGAAATACATTTGTATAGTTCTATAAATGAAAATTCATCTACAGAAAAACTATCATATTAAGGGTTTTATTATGTGTTGTAGCTGAAGCCAAAACAGTTTTAATCAGAACAGGTGAAGATTTTTTTTCCTCCACAGTTTTTAAAACCTGAAGTCAGCAGCAGAAGTCACGTCCGTCACATGAGAGCAATGCTAATTCTCCTGCAATTTGATATCCAGTATTTATAGCAACCATTTTCAACACTTACTCCATTGAGCAAATTGCTCATCGAAACTTTATTTATGCATGAATATGGCAAATATTGTTTGCGCGTTAATGCTGGTGAGAGCAGGTGAAACAGTCCTACCTTCAGCCATGGTGACGCGGAGACTATCTCAGAGATATAAACCAAGCCTCCTCATTTAGAACCACCTGGGGATAACTTCAGTATGTCCAATCCAAGTTGACTTATTCATAAAAAAATATATATAGAATCCATGTCCCTCATAGTAAATTATTCAGTTTTCTCATGTTGATGTTTCATCCTCCAGTCTTCCGTTGTGATGAGGAAAAACAGAAGAAAGCGGTAAATAAAATCAAATAAATACTTACAGGGGGGGAAAAAAAGAAAGAAAGTTTAAAGGGAAATTTGGAGCTGCCTGTGTGGCAGCTAAAAGAGGATTGGGGGACCAGCAGAGCAAGGGAGGAAGGAGCGAAGCAAAGCAAGGGTCTGGATGGGGCAGAGGGGAGCAAGCAGAGGATCCCACCCAGTGCTACTGGTGCCTCACGTATAATATTGGTCAGCAAAAGGACTTGATAACTTCAGGATAACTTTATCCCCTTCCCTCCATCCCAGAAAGTCCAGGTTATTCTTAGCTGGAGCTCTGCTCACCAGCTGCTCCGTCAAACCCTTTTTTGGCACTTGTGGGGGGCTCAAGGTCAGACCAGCTGGCTGGATGGGGAAACCTGATTGGCTACAGCTAAAATCGACAACAAACTGTCCTCCCCAAATCTGGAGTTAACAACAACTTGGTGGATTTGTCTTAATATAACATTGCAACTCTGTAGCAAACATATTTTATGTAATATTTGAGTAGACACGCATGCTTCTTTTTGGATAAATGACCACTTTGTGAGAGTCTGATTCAATGACCAATGATTTTTAAGCATGTTGCTGTTGTTTTCCACCACGAGACATTTTATATCAGGCATCTGTTTGTGTAGCGATCGTCCATCCCTTACTTCCTGTTTTGTCCAGGTACCAAGTCTTCTAACCAAAAACACCTGATTGCTGAAAGCAACATAAACACAGCAATGCAAGAATAAAACTAAGAAAACCAAAACTGTGCTCTAACATAAACACCGCTGGCTGGAGATACGCTGGAAATGTTATATGGCTAAAGCAGAAGTCAGCTGAGCTCATTGGCACAGGAGGAGGGAGGAATCTCTCCTCCCTCAGCACACGCAGCATCAAACACTCGGTCTCCGGTGACCTGCAGTAAACTTGTGTGAAGCTAACTTGGAACATGCGTCAGTATGGAGAATGCAGATTGTTTTACCTAAATGTGTGAGGAATGTCGATTCTTTGCGGGCGGAAATAAATCAAGAATTTGATGATTCGGTTTTGCGTCTGGCAGTATGACATTCACAGTCTCCATTTGTGAAATTTGAACTTTAGTTGTATCATTTCTCTAAAACTAGGACCAAACACATTCTGAAAAAAGTAATCCGTAAAAGAATTACATTTAATTTACACAGCATATATAGTCTACCGGTTGTTAATTTTCTTCATTTTGATAGTCTGAGGTTAAACTCAGTTTCTCATAAAATGTGGGTAACTACAGGCTATTCACGATTAACAAGAGGGTCCATACCTTTTCACATAAAGTTAAAAAGCAACTTTATGTGTTGCTTTTCACACAATGTGTGTTTGTGAATGAAGTGCTTCAAAAACATCCTTCTTTGCTTACTCTGGCTATATTTGTCTTATATTAAAGGGTATTTGATGATCTGAAACATTTAAGTGTGACAAAAACAAAACAAAAAACATCATCATACGTCTACATATGATGCATTTTTTTCATATATGGTATACTGCCCAGCAGCCCTTTAACAAAAAAAAAGAACAAGAAAAAAAAAGTTGTTTGAATGTCAGAAGTCAGAAACACAAATCTAATACTTGAAAGATTGTTTATTTGAAAACCAGCTGTGTATAGGTAATAGACAGACAATAAATAGAGAGAACAAAAAAAAAATGTAATTTTTTATGCCTAATAAATTAGGAAAAGAAGTGATAGAAAATGAAAATTTACAGTTTACTTTACCACCCATGGAAAGCAACATAAATACATAGAGAAATGGCGATTTGTCCTGGATCACCTCCAGAGGCAGGTTTGACACCTGGTAGTAAAAAAAACCAAAAACAAAACAAACAAAAAAAAAAGCGTAACATATAACACTGGCTGAACATAAAAACATGTTATTTAAAAGTACACATAATGCAGGGACAAATACAAGTACACATCCTTCATTCTCAGCATGTTAAAGCAAAAAAGAGGAGAGATCTTCTACAGCCTGCCTTGATAGGTCAATGCAACAGACATCATCAGTACACTAAGCAGTCACCTAAACAATGGTTGCAGCGCGAGAGGAAGTCCGCACCGCTTTAACTACGTAAAGCTAAACTAAAGATTACTTTAAGCCGAGCTAAAACTTGTTGGCTGAAGCCGAAATGCTATGGATGCACTTAGTATCGGTGCCGAATTAGCCCTACACTTTGGGCTTGATCGGACGAGTCCATGATGCGGGTTAGTGTTTATAAAGCGTGAAGGCATTCCCTTGCGTTATAAGAAGATTACTAAAGATGAAAAGGCAAAAACAGGTTTTATAGTACATCTGAGTTCCTTGAGAAGAGAAGTATTGTTAAATCAGCCTGGTAAAAAAAAAAAAAATGGCGCTGAGGTCTCAGAAAAACGTCAGATGCTCCGGTCCAAGATGCCTGCAACCACACTAGCAGTTATGGTTTTTTGTGAAACTTTAATTTCTCCGAGTTAAACACACACTGCTCCAAGGAAAGGTAATCTGAAACATGTTTAACCTTTAATTAAAAAGAAAAAATATATATATATATTCCACAGGCTCCCAAATTATCAAAAGTAATATAAAGTAAACAACAAAAAGTTAAGTAAACAAGCAATTAATATTTACAGTACATACAAAGTACACAACATATGTTGCTCATTTACGAAAGTTAATTACTTCTGGCCCCCATCAACATCCTCGGAGCTGATGTGCAGTTCACCGCCGTCCGTCCATCCGTCCCCATTTCCATGACGTCTGGAAGAAGTCAGTCAACTAAAAACAAAAAAAAGCTTTTCTAAGATGTCAGAAAAGGAGGTGCGTGGCTCCCTCTGGTGGAAAGGCCAGGAAATGACATGAGATGAGGGCGGCGGTGCTTCAGAGATTATCCCCCGGCTGGTACTGAGGCTCAGTGGCTGTGAAGTAGTCCTCCAAAAAGGCTTGCAGATACTCAAAGGTGGGCCTCTCCTCAGGGTCCTTCTTCCAGCACTGCACCATGAGCTCGTGCAGGGAGGTGGGGCAGTCCTGAGGGCACGGCATCCGGTAGCCTCGCTCCACCTGCTCCAGGACCTCGCGGTTGTTCATGCCTGAGGAAGAGGGAAAGCGGACAGATTCCCTCTCACTCTCATTGACCCCATTCAAAGCTCCCACTCGCACTAAGCAGCTTAGTGCATCTAAGAGTTTGTGATTTACTGCTGGTTCTTTGTTTTTGTTTGCTTCAATACGCCAAACTGTTGATGTGGTTTGATATCTTGCACGTTATGAGACCATTTGTTTTTTTTTTCATGAGTTATAACTTCAGATTCAAATATGTGTGTTTTTTTACGTGAAAGTGCTGCATAGTTGTGACGTAGAATAACGTCCTAGAATAATGGGACGTAAACTTGGATGGGAGTTTAGCTCCCTTCATCTGAATCAGAAGGTGCCACCACCAAGATGAATCTGTCCTTAAAGGCAATTGATTGCTCTGGATTTTATTTTGTAAATGACGCACAATCCATTTAAAAATTGTTTAAATGTCCCTCTGCTTTGTGTTCGTCTAACGTATGACATTGAAACAAAATGCACTAAAGTTTGTGGTAGTAAATGTAGCACAATGCTTATTTTTCCTTGCAAAACCGACATGCAGCATTTATCAGACGTGACCAATCGACAGGAAGGAGTCTGACCTGGATAGGGCACCCTCCCCTTGGTGACCAGCTCTGTGAGCAGGATGCCGAACGACCACACGTCCGACTTGATGGTGAACTTCCCGTACAGCGCGGCCTCAGGAGCCGTCCACTTAATCGGGAACTTGGCGCCTGAAACAAGTAAAGGTGTTTGGTTTCAACAGGTAATGTTTACTCCTCCAGCTACAGCAAACATGTTTGTGACTTCACTTTTGCCGATCCCCGAGAATCACTTTGGCAGTAAGTGGGTCAGGATTCTTCTGTGGTTTCACATCACAGCGTACCGCTGGGAAAACGACGGAACAATTCCATTATCTTTCCCCGCTCCGGTCTCCGTTCACACTTGGCCCGAGTTAAACAATCGCATGTTTTTAAGCTGCCGTCCAATGAGCAGCTGGGCATGTTGTCAGTGTAGTTTATGTCCGACTCTTTGAGGAAAAACGGCCGAACTGTCGAGCAGAAACTCGAGCAGTTAAGCGTCTGGATTAAGTTTTTCACTGTTGCTTGGTGTATATTCAGCTGCCTTTCAGCCATGTTCCAACCACATCCTTCTGTTTTCCAAGTCTCCATCAGAACAAATTCATGCATGTTTACCCTCTGCAAAAACCACAGACCTTTTTCCTCTGGCTCCAAGTATTCCTAAGGATGTTGTGGGTGAGGGAAGCGGAGGCTACTGAAGGAATATGTAAGATATGTGCGCAGAACGGCCTTTGATGCTGCGACTGCGCCTCGAGTTTTCACTGTCTGACATTAAATCAGAATAAGCTTGTCCCGGTTTAGCTCAGTTACGAGTCCAAGTTGTTTTTGCTGCGTGGTAAAATGCCAGAAAAATAAGAAAGAGTAAGTTTTTTGTTAACATTTTTCAAATTCTGCAAATGACATCATATTCGTCATGTGAGCTGGCAGCGTTCTTGTTGAAAAACAGTACGAAAAAACAACAAGAAAAAAAACAATGAGATGGAAACTGCCAGAAATGCACAGTATATGGTTTACCTCAACAACGTCCACTATATCTTGTTTGTGGGAGAAAGTAATGGGTCTGTAACTCAAAGTTGGTGTGCAAACTCTGACTTTCCCAGAGTTCTGACTTTAGGTAGGAAATGATGCCGTTTTCCGACTGGGAATTCAGAAACTAGATTAGAAAGATTACTGGCGCCCATTGACCAACTCTTTCTGCAAGTCTACAGGCAACTTTGCCCTCATGCGTTTCTTTCAGTTCTGACCACAAAACTTTCTCTGAGACTAAGATCCAAGAAGGTACAGTATGTCTGCAGATGAAGTAGGTATTTCCAAGGGACGGCGTTTCTCAAGATCTGACTGGACAAACAAAATCAAGTGCAACACGATTGGGAGAGCCTGTCGTCGTTATTACATAATAACAGCAGTCAGACAGTGTTAGCCCATCCGACATTACCTGCATCTCCATAACTTTTCCTCCCGCCTGTCTTGACAGTCTGGTTACATTTCAAAATAAGAGGATCAACATAAATCACACTGTTGCAATACTTGCTGATGGGTGTGACTTTTCTGCAATGTTTACAAGTAAGTCAAAGGA